CAAAGTGGTAAGTAACTTTTCGTGATTTATTGCATTATTTTGAAGTTTTACTAACATTGTGCCAGTTTTATACTTTCAGGGACTAGGAAGAGGAACAACGATGGAGGAGCAGGGTCGACCAACAGAGGAAGATGAGATGACGAGTCCATTTCCCATCTCTATACAGCAGCCAACATGGCCCAAAGTGGTAAGTAACTTTTCGTGATTTATTGCATTATTTTGAAGTTTTACTAACATTGTGCCAGTTTTATACTTTCAGGGACTCGGACGAGGAACAACGATGGAGGAGCAGGGTCGACCAACAGAGGAAGATGAGATGACGAGGCCATTTCCCATCTCTATACAGCAGCCAACATGGCCCAAAGTGGTAAGTAACTTTTCGTGATTTGTTGCATTCTTTTGAAGTTTTACTAACATTGTGCCAGTTTTATACTTTCAGGGACTCGGAAGAGGAACAAAAATGGAGGAGCAGGGTCGACCAACAGAGGAAGATGAGATGACAAGGCCATTTCCCATCTCTGTACAGCAGCCAACATGGCCCAAAGTGGTAAGCCACTTTTCGTGATTTGTTGCATTCTTTTGAAGTTTTACTAACATTGTGCCAGTTTTATACTTTCAGGGACTCAGAAGAAGAACAACGATGGAGGAGCAAGGTCGACCAACAGAGGAAGACGAGATGACGAGTCCATTTCCCATCTCTATACAGCAGCCAACATGGCCAAAGTAAGTAACTTTTCGTGATTTGTTGCATTCTTTTGAAGTTTTACTAACATTGTGCCAGTTTTATACTTTCAGGGACTTGGAAGAGGAACAACGATGGAGGAGCAGGGTCGACCAACAGAGGAAGATGAGATGACGAGTCCATTTCCCATCTCTATACAGCAGCCAACATGGCCCAAAGTGGTAAGTAACATTTCGTGATTTGTTGCATTTTTTTGAAGTTTTACTAACATTGTGCCAGTTTTATACTTCCAGGGACTCGGACGAGGAACAACGATGGAGGAGCAAGGTCGACCAACAGAGGAAGAGATGACGAGTCCATTTCCCATCTCTATACAGCAGCCAACATGGCCCAAAGTGGTAAGTAACTTTTCGTGATTTGTTGCATTCTTTTGAAGTTTTACTAACATTGTGCCAGTTTTATACTTTCAGGGACTCGGAAGAGGAACAACGATGGAGGAGCAGGGTCGACCAACAGAGGAAGATGAGATGACGAGTCCATTTCCCATCTCTATACAGCAGCCAACATGGCCCAAAGTGGTAAGTAACTTTTCGTGATTTATTGCATTATTTTGAAGTTTTACTAACATTGTGCCAGTTTTATACTTTCAGGGACTAGGAAGAGGAACAACGATGGAGGAGCAGGGTCGACCAACAGAGGAAGATGAGATGACGAGTCCATTTCCCATCTCTATACAGCAGCCAACATGGCCCAAAGTGGTAAGTAACTTTTCGTGATTTATTGCATTATTTTGAAGTTTTACTAACATTGTGCCAGTTTTATACTTTCAGGGACTCGGACGAGGAACAACGATGGAGGAGCAGGGTCGACCAACAGAGGAAGATGAGATGACGAGGCCATTTCCCATCTCTATACAGCAGCCAACATGGCCCAAAGTGGTAAGTAACTTTTCGTGATTTGTTGCATTCTTTTGAAGTTTTACTAACATTGTGCCAGTTTTATACTTTCAGGGACTCGGAAGAGGAACAACAATGGAGGAGCAGGGTCGACCAACAGAGGAAGATGAGATGACAAGGCCATTTCCCATCTCTGTACAGCAGCCAACATGGCCCAAAGTGGTAAGCCACTTTTCGTGATTTGTTGCATTCTTTTGAAGTTTTACTAACATTGTGCCAGTTTTATACTTTCAGGGACTCAGAAGAAGAACAACGATGGAGGAGCAAGGTCGACCAACAGAGGAAGACGAGATGACGAGTCCATTTCCCATCTCTATACAGCAGCCAACATGGCCCAAAGTGGTAAGTAACTTTTCGTGATTTGTTGCATTCTTTTGAAGTTTTACTAACATTGTGCCAGTTTTATACTTTCAGGGACTTGGAAGAGGAACAACGATGGAGGAGCAGGGTCGACCAACAGAGGAAGATGAGATGACGAGTCCATTTCCCATCTCTATACAGCAGCCAACATGGCCCAAAGTGGTGAGTAACATTTCGTGATTTGTTGCATTTTTTTGAAGTTTTACTAACATTGTGCCAGTTTTATACTTCCAGGGACTCGGACGAGGAACAACGATGGAGGAGCAAGGTCGACCAACAGAGGAAGAGATGACGAGTCCATTTCCCATCTCTATACAGCAGCCAACATGGCCCAAAGTGGTAAGTCACTTTTTGTGATTTGTTGCATTCTTTTGAAGTTTTACTAACATTGTGCCAGTTTTATACTTTCAGGGACTCGGATGAGGAACAACGATGGAGGAGCAGGGTCGACCAACAGAGGAAGATGAGATGACGAGTCCATTTCCCATCTCTATACAGCAGCCAACATGGCCCAAAGTGGTAAGTAACTTTTCGTGATTTGTTGCATTCTTTTGAAGTTTTACTAACATTGTGCCAGTTTTATACTTTCAGGGACTCGGACGAGGAACAACGATGGAGGAGCAGGGTCGACCAACAGAGGAAGATGAGATGACGAGGCCATTTCCCATCTCTGAACAGCAGCCAACATGGCCCAAAGTGGTAAGTAACTTTTCGTGATTTGTTGCATTCTTTTGAAGTTTTACTAACATTGTGCCAGTTTTATACTTTCAGGGACTCGGACGAGGAACAACGATGGAGGAGCAAGGTCGACCAACAGAGGAAGAAGAGATGACGAGTCCATTTCCCATCTCTATACAGCAGCCAACATGGCCCAAAGTGGTAAGTCACTTTTTGTGATTTGTTGCATTCTTTTGAAGTTTTACTAACATTGTGCCAGTTTTATACTTTCAGGGACTCGGACGAGGAACAACGATGGAGGAGCAGGGTCGACCAACAGAGGAAGATGAGATGACGAGTCATTTCCCATCTCTATACAGCAGCCAACATGGCCCAAAGTGGTAAGTAACATTTCGTGATTTGTTGCATTTTTTTGAAGTTTTACTAACATTGTGCCAGTTTTATACTTTCAGGGACTCGGACGAGGAACAACGATGGAGGAGCAGGGTCGACCAACAGCAAAAGACAGGATGACGAGTCTATTTCCCATCTCTATGCAGCAACCAATATGGCTCAGGGTTGTAAGTAACAAATTGATTATTTAAATGAAGTTTGTCATTTGTTAGGGAATGTGAGTGATTCTCCTTTGATGTGTTTGTTTTCTCTTTTTAAGCAGAAGAAATTTGAGGCTGACCAGGATCCTGAAGTGAAGAGCAGTCCCTCTCCCATTTAACAGCGTTCTTGAGCAGAAAGTGCGGTAAGATTCATACTTGACCTCTGAGCACCTTTTCCAAACATTATATATGGCTTTCCAATTGATGTTGGCTTTTTCAGGCTTTGACCTCTTGAGTTTGAATTGACAGGAAGCAGAGATAGCCACCTCTGAAGGTCAGTCTGGAGTGTTTTCTGCTGCATTCAGAAAGTATGGGGTGTATAGTAGTTGTAAGTAGCGTTACAAAGGTGTTTCTTATTCTTAGGTTTAGTTTGTATAGTATTTCCGGTAGGTGCATTGTGTTGTAGTTTAAGTTAGTAAGTAGGCTTTAGTTGATAGTTAGACAGCTTAGAGGAGTGTAGGTTATTATTGTAATTAAGGTATTTGCTAGTTAGTGCATGGTTAGTGCTTGTGGTGGATAGGTTTGCATGATTAACACCCTAACAAGCAGGGTTCTCCATGAGCTGTTTTACTGTGTTGGTCCCGACACAGAAAAATGTTCTCCGACACAGTAAAGATTCAAATTTTATCTGTGCGACACATTAAAAATTTTGCTGACACAGTAAGATCTGTGATAATAAAAAAAAATTGAAAGAAACATATTCTCTCTATCTGAAACATTATAAATTGATCAAACAATTCTACAGTCTTTCAATTCTATACGATATCTAGATCACTTAATTATGCTTTCACCTTGCATAATCAATTATTTCCTAGACCCTCAATGGACTTGACGCATGAAGGAACAAAGACAAAAAATTGGATTTCAAACTTCCATGTAACGCTTAATTGGTACTAGTACTTGCAATTAAAGTACATTGTATTATTTTTAAGAATATATTTAAATGTCTTTTCTTTAGAGCCATGGCTCTAGAATTATGTTTGCAATGTAAATCAAACATAACACTGTACCAAAATCATTTACTTGATGTAAATAAATAGTTTTCAATTTTCAAGGAACTTTTAAAAGTATTTTACTATTCCGAAGTCTCTTTTTTTTGTAATTCCTTAATTCGATCAATAAAATTCGATCAATAAAATTGACAAAAAAAGTATGACAAATTTGCTTTAAAAAATTGTAAGTAGTTCAACTTTATAGACAAGAAGTACCGTAATTTACGGAATATAGGTCAATACTTTTTTTCTCAGAACCGCTGGGGTCGACCAATATTCAGAATTCGACCTATTTAAGGCTCAAGTTTACGAAAAATGCCCCCAAATCAGTAAAATTTACGTCAATTTCAAAGCAAATTTGTGCCACTTTTGTAACTTTTTTGATTATTTTTCACAAAAAAATTAATGCCCCGATAAACAATATTTATTCTATAGCTTTCTTACAAAATAAGTTCCATTAATTATTCATTGATGACAAAGGAAAACAACATTGCTTCATCTATTAAATAATTCCTCAATGTATTATCCATTAACATCATGTGGTAGCCATTTTGTGAAGTTAGGAAGTCGCAATCGTGTACTAAAAGTAAAACTGCAGCCGTATCAAAATTTAAAATACGGAAAATTTTTCATGATCACAACTGAAGTGTTTTTACCATTTATTATTAGCAATGAATTGAAATAGTATATTAAATATTTTCTATTGTCTTAATTATAATGAATAGTGAGTCAGTTGCAAATTTGATCGCTAAAATACCGTGAAATTTTAGTGCTTTGGATAAACTCTGCAACACAGTAAATTTTCAAACAATGGAGAACCCTGAACAAGTAACAAGCTACTAAAACTACTAACGTCTGCTAAATGTTGTGTGACGCGTCTAGTGTGTTGGTGTTAGTGTCTGTGTGCTTGTCACCTCTCGCTTTCATCCATCACCGCTGGCTAGCAGCAATGCGAAAAGGGGGAAGAAATTCTAATGACTTCCCCTGCCAGTACATAGCCTCTCCACAACAAGTCCTATGCGATGCCTCCACGTGGAAGCAGACGGATACTGGGTATCATTTTGTCCCAGGCTAAGTTCGCAAGGGCGCACGGGAAGATGAGTCTCAAAAGCATTGGTAAACATCTCATATAGGATCTCTCCTGATCACAAACCCAATTTAGTAGTTGAATCAATTGATATAAGTGCTGGTTTTTAAAAGAAGTGAACCTTTAAATTGTTCATTTTATGTCTTTGTCATCTTTTTAGCTCACCTGAGCCAAAGGCTAAAGTGAGCTTTTCTGATCACATTTTGTCCATCGTCTGTCCGTCCGTCCATCTGTAAACTTTTCACATTTTCGACTTCTTCTCAAGAACCACTGGGCCAATTTTGACCAAACTTGGTACCAAGCATTCTTGAGTAAAGGGAAATTTAAATTGTTAAAATGAAGGGCCAAGTCCCCTCACAAGGGGAGATAATCAGGAAAAGACAAAACTAGGGAGGGGTCATTAAAAAATCTTTTCAAGAACCACTGGGCCAGAAAAGCTGAAACTTCTGTGGAAGCATCCTGGGGTAGTGTAGATTCTAAATTGTTCAAATCATGACCACCGGGGTAGGGCGGGGCCACAATGGGGAATCAAAGTTTTACATAGAAATATTAATATATAGGAAAAATCTTTGAAAATCTTCTTCTCAAGAACCACTGGGTCAGGAAAGCTGAAACTTATGTGGAAGCATCCTGGGGTAGTGTAGATTTCAAATTGTCTAAATTTTGATCAGTGGGGTAGGGTGGGGTCACAATATGTGTTACAAGGGGGAAATCTGGTAAAGAACAGAATGGTCAAAGCTTCTCATGTGAGCGATGTGGCCCATGGGCCTCTTGTTTGTAAAATTTCACATTTTCATCTTTGGTCAAATTCAACGAAACTTGGCAAAGAATATCCTTGGATAAATGCCATTATGGGATTTAAGTTTATTCAAATGAAGGCCCATTCCCTCTTCAAATAGAAGATTACTACAAATTAGAGAAAAATTAAGGACATCTTTTAAAAATCTTCTGTTCAAGAACCACTGAGACAGGAAAGAGACACTTATGTGGCATCATCCTCAGGTAGTGTAGATCGATTCAAAATCGGTCAAATCAAGACCCCATGTTGGTGTCAGAATAGGGGATTAAAAATATATATAATACTGTAGATTCCTTATTTCTCGTGAGTAATTATCGCAAATAGGCTTTTCACCATCAAATCACAAGAATAATAATTCGCAAATGCATGGTTGGTTAAGAGATAATACATAGATTTCAGCGCCATAAAAATAAAGGCGAGTAATTTAATTTTGTGTGTGGTGCTTCTCACAAAATTACGCGAAAATTAATTCCACGCACATATTTAGGAATCTACAGTATGTAGGGATATACTTTTTTTTTCTCAAGCCACAATTAGTTATGTTGATAGCAAATCATCCTTTTTGGTAGTGAAGATTTCATTTTGTTCAAATCATGTCTACCGGGAAAAGGTTTGGGCCACATTGGACAATCAAAGTTTTACATTGGGTTATATTGGAAATATTTTTAGAAATCTTCTCAGAAACAAATATGTCATGACTGGTGATATGTATACGGTAGCATCTTCATGCAGTGTAGATTTAAGTTTGTTCAAATCATGATTCCCAGGTGTAGGGCAGGGCCCCAATTGTGGATCAAAATGGACAGGGGAATACTGTAAATCACTTTTTATTCGCGAGAACTTTATTTTCACATTATTACGCGAGACGGTATGGTCGCGAAAATTTCATTCTCACATATAATATAATTCCTTAAGATTATATAGAGCATTAATGACCACAATTTTGAAAATTTTGTCTGTTGTTAATGAAGAGTCATTGACTATCTCGCGAAAATAAGGTGTCGCGAAAATTAAGTGATTTACAGTATATAGGAAACGTCTTCTCAATAATACCAAAGCCATATATAGTCATATTGATATGGAAGCATCCTTAGGTAGTGTAGATTCAAATTTGTCCAAATCTTGATTCCAGGGGGCAGGGAGGGGCATCAATGGGGATAAAATTTTAACAAAGGAATATATAGGAAAAAAATTTATGTTCAAGAACAGCTAAGCCATTGTTATTGATAATTATGAATATGTCTCCAGGTAGTTATTCAAGCCCCCTTCTCCTCTTCCTAAATTTTATACTTTTCAATACTGGACTAATTTGTCATTTACTAGCCAATATGCTTAGGTGAGCCACTAGTTTATTTTAGAAATCTTCTCACTTGGTATGAAGTGCAAGTGATCCCCTTTTGGTGTCTGTTAATTTTTATCTTTTTAAGAGGAATACTCTTAAGGCTGAACAGGATCCTGAAGTGAGGAGGACTCCCTCTCTCATTGAACTGCATACAGCAGCAGAAAGCAGGGTAAGATTCGGATTTTACTTCTTGTATCTTTGTTTGCCTATTGATGTTGGCTGTACCAAGCTTTAACATCTGGACCTTCAATTGACAGATTTCAGTTCCCCTTTGATTCAGAAGAGGAACAACAATGGAGGACCAAGGTCATTAATATAAGAAGAGTCTATTCCTGTCTGTGTTTTGCAGGTATTATGTTTCAAAAGTGGTAAGCAACAAGCTGCTTTTTACTGAAGCTTCTCACTTGGTATGAAGTGCAAGTGTTTCCCCTTTTATGTCTCTGTTTTATCTTTTTAAGCAGAAGAAAGTTAAGACTGACTAGGAATTCTAAGTGAGGAAGGGTCCCTTTCCCATTCCGCTGCAGCCATGAGGAAAATACTCATAAGAATCAGACTTTACTTCTTTTTTACCTATGGAACTTCATCATGACCCACTTTAAAAGGCAGGAGTCTTACAAGTATTTTTTATTTAATTATTTCTGACATATCTTTGTCCTCCCTACTCTAAAGTAACTAATGATGCTTTCCTCTCCTTGCCCCAATATTCCACCTTATTCCTAGCTATCATAACCTTATTGTCTTTATTTGCTTTTTGATTTTCAAGCTAATAATGTTGTAATGATTATGTTCATTTGAATTTCTGTGATTATTACATTGCTTTGTATTATTGCTTATCTTCTCTCCATCAAGTATTTTCAAGGAATTTGACAAGGGAAGAGGACCAGTGCTGACCAAGTGAAGAAAAAGAAGAGTCTATTGCAAAAGCTTTGTACAGCAGCCAATATCTGATTAAGGAGTGGGTAAAAAGATTTATTTTTTGCAATTTACAAATTTTCTTTATACACTTATCAAATCATAGGTCCAGGGGGATTTACTTCTGCTGCACAACAGCAAGACTGTGTTGCAATAACAATAGGGCATCCCGGGGATGTGCTGTTTCAAATTACGTTACATCATGATCCCTTTGGACTAGGATTAGTAAAAAAAAAAAAAGAATTTTTCTTTTGATGACAAAGTCAAGGTGATTCAGGTGAACATTTTGTCACAAGGTATTTTTGTTCATGTTTTTTTCATTATCTTTGGATTCCCTTTGTTAACAAGTAGAAGATGAGACTGATCTCAATCAGTTAACAAGAATGTGGAAAGTAAGGACTTACTACTGTCTAACCTAAACATTGATGGTTAGTCAGATCAGATGCATGTAAAGCTCTAGACCTTGCATTATGTGAATTAGAGGAGATTTTGACTCTCTCATTGCTTGGATTCTTAGTGCCTTTTTGTTAATAGGCAGACGGTTATGCTGGCATTGATCCTGTTTCCAAAAGAAGATCAACATGATTCCTCAAGACTCCAAAGAGATCAACTATGGGACCTGAAAATAAAGGTAAGACACATGTACAAGCTCTGCAAAATCCTTCTATTCTGTAAAAATATGTTAGCTATTTTTCATTTATTAAGATTTTATTAATATAATTTATGTTGAGTCCTTGTGATTTCTTTTTTTACAGGCAGACTGCCATCAATTTCATGTTTCTTTGATAGCAGACAAATATGCTTCAACAACAGTACAGAGAGTAATTTAAGGTTTGGACTGCAAGTGATGGACACACTAAATAACTCGATCAACTCGATCAAAGAATTCAATGGATAGTGCTGAGTACATTATCATATATCTACAAAGTGATGGGCACACTAAATAGCTTAACTGACAGAATTCAATGGACCGTGCTGAAAAGATTGTTATATATCTACAAAGTGATGGACACACTAAATAGCTTAAATGACAAAATTCAATGGACCGTGCTGAGTACATTGTTATCTACAAAGTGATGGACACACTAAATAGCTTAACTCACAGAATCCAATGGACAGAGTTGAGTATGTACTAATATCTACAAAGTGATGGACACAGTAAACAGCTTAATTCTCAGGATTCAGTGTACCATGCTGAGTACATAACTCATTAAGGATAACTCATTTGACATCCACAGCAGATCATTCAAAGTTGTGTTACTACATTATTGTACAACTTTTCATATACTACGTTATTTTTTCTGAATGTTTTTTTTGTATCTGTATATTATATTTTTTAATTTTAAAAAGTTAAAGATTGGATTTTTAAGCAAAAATATCAAGAGAGGTAAATCAGTGCTTGTCTGAATATCTAAGCTTAAGAGAAAGGGAGGTAATTTTTTTTATTATGAATCCTTGTCCAGAGCATATGCTTTCTCCCCTTGGTCCAATGTGGCTAATACTTCTCTCACAGAGTGCCACTGGTCAATGGATGTGTAGTGACCTTGAAGTTTCTAGGCCAAGAGTCAAGGTTAAAACCCCTTTCAGCTACTTTACATTTTTATGTTCATTGCTGAAAGTGGGACCCTTTGAGATAGCCACCATCTCAATGATATCTAATTTTAGTCTGAAAATTGCTAGAAAAGATAAAGTGATCTCATTGTAACATTATTATTTTTTAGTGTTTTAGATTATAAATAAATATAACAGTATGCAAAATCTAAATTCTTTTATATGTTCTCTCCTTTGATTTACATAGCAGGCCTTGCAGTTTTTAGCTCATATGAGATTTTCTGATCACCTGTCCGTCGTCCATCCGTCTGACTGTCCATTCATCTGTAAACTTTTCACATTTTCAGCTTACTCTTGAGAACCATTGGGTCAATTTTGACCAAACTTAGTACAAAACATCCTTGGGTAGTGGGAGTTTAAATTATAAAAATAAAGTCCCCTTCCGAGGGGAAATTGTCAAGAATATACAAAAATAGGATGGGGTCATAAAAAAATCTTCTCAAGAACCACTGGGCCAGAAAAGCTAAAACTTCTGTGGAAGCATCCTGGGGTAGTGTTACTAGTGTAGATTCTAAATTGCTTGGATCATGACCCCTGGGGATTGGGAAAGGTCAAGATAGGTATTAGGGGGAAATCTGTTTAATAACATAATAGCCAAAGTTACTCAGGTGAGTGATGTGGCCCATGGGCTTCTTGCTTATCTAATTTAGTTTTATCTTTGTATGCAACACTTTTTCCTTCTTTTAGTTGTTACTGAGGTTCTAAGTAATTTAAGTTTTTTATGAAATATTTTTCATTGTCAAGTTCTATATGCATGTTCTACTTCATACACAAGTAGTATATGAAGATTTTCTAGATGTTTCATATTTTTTCAACTTTTCTTGAAAAGCATAACTGATGTACATGTAATTGTAAAAACTGTGTTTGTCCCCTTGTGATACATGATTAATTTATGTCAAGTTGAATTTATCATATATATTAAAATACACTATTATACAGTCTTGTTTGTCATGGAATTAAACTTGTTGAGTTTTTATTCCACCACTATAATTGAAGATTTGGGGGCATATTTTGATAAACTGTCTGTCTGTTTATGTCTCCAAATTTACTAATTAGCTCACCTGAGCCGAAGGCTCAAGTGAGCTTTTCTGATCAAAATTTGTCCATTGTCTGTCGTCGTTGTCGTTCGTTGTTTGTTGTAAACTTTTCACATTTTCATCTTCTTCTCAAGAACCACTGGGCCAATTTCAACCAAACTTGGCACAAAGTATCCTTGGGTAAAGGGGATTCAAGTTTGTTCAAATGAAGGGCCACGCCCTTTTCCAAGGGGAGATAATCATGAATTTGTTAAAAATTAATGGCATTTTTAAAAAATCTTCTTCTCCAGAACCGCTGGGCCAGGAAAGATGAAACTTATGTGGAAGCATCCTCAGGTAGTGTAGATTCAAGTTTGTTCAAATCATGACCCCCGGGGCAAGGGTGGGGCCAAAATGGCTGACCCAAGTTTTACATAGGAATATATAGGAAAATTATCTTTAAAAATCTTCTTCTCCAGAACCACTGGGCCAGGAAAGATGAAACTCATGTGGAATCATCCTCAGGTAGTGTATAGATTCAAGTTTGTTCAAATCATGACCCCCGGGGCAAGGGTGGGGCCAAAATGGCCGACCCAAGTTTTACATAGGAATATATAGTAAAAATCTTTAAAAATCTTCTACTCCAGAACCACTGGGCCAGGAAAGATGAAACTCATGTGGAATCATCCTTAGGTAGTATAGACTCAAGTTTGTTCAAATCATGACCCCCGGGGCAAGGATGGGGCCAAAATGGCCAACCCAAGTTTTACATAGGAATATATAGGAAATATCTTTAAAAATCCTTCTCAATTACCACTGGGCCAGGAAAGATGAAACTCATGTGGAATCATCCTCAGGTAGTGTAGATTCAAGTTTTTTCAAATCATGACCCCCGGCCCTGGGGATAGGGTGGGGCCAAAATGGCTGACCAAAGTTTTACATAGGGATATATAGGGAAACCTTTGGTATTTATATGGAATCATCCTCAGGTAGTGTAGATTCTAGTTTGTTCAAATGATGAACGCCTGGAAGGGGGGGGGGAGTAAATTCAAGCCCGATGTGCTCAGGTGAGCGCTGTGGCCCCTGGGCCTCTTGTTTTTACTACCCATGACCATTCCTTTTGAACTTTTTTTAACCTTTAAGTTAGACTTTGACCTACTTTGGTAAAAAAAAATAATGTGAATGATTAGTGCTAGGGCTTTCATATTTCAAATGTGTATTCCTTGTAATGAAACTTCTCTTTTTACCCCAAACAAAGGAAGTTTTAGGGATATATAGGAATCACTTTGTCTGTGAATGTAATTTTGTCTAGGCTCTAACTTTGATATATGGAAACATTGGAAGCTTATACTTGTTATAGAGCTTGCTTGTAATGACCCGACAGTGAGTCCTGATCTGACACAAGGTCATTCCTGCAAGTTCAAGGTCACTGGCCTAAAAGTATGAAATTTTTGTCTGGGTCATAACTTTTTAGTAAGAATCACTGGAAGCTCAAACCTGGTACAGGGATTGCTTATGACCCAAAAATGTGTCATGATCTTATCCAGTCATTCCATTTAGTTCAAGGTTACTAGTAGAAAAAAGGTATGACATAACTTGACTTTGTAATGGAGAGTCAGTGGAAGCTCATACTTGGTACAGATATTGCTTATGATCAAAGAATATGCCTTGACCTTTATCCAAGGTCATTTTGGCGATTTCAAGGTCACTGGTAAAAAAAAGAAAAAAAAATGTCTCAGCTAAAACTTTATTTGGAAAAGAATTGGTACAGGTATTGTTTTTGAAATAAGGAAAGTTCTTATTTTAATCCAGTGTCAATGCAGCAAGTTCAAAGTTACAGGCAGAATAGTGTAAAATTATTTTTTTAAGACTTTAACTTAACAATGTAGAAATACTAGGAGCTCGTACTTGATACAAAGATTGCTCATTGGAACCTGATACAGGTACTGTTTATGAACCTAAGGAGTGTCATGACTTTAATTCGAAGTCAAATAGCAAGTGAAAGGTTGGTGGTATAAGAATTAAAAATTATGACAAGCCTTTATTATCTGATAGAGAAATATCTGTATGTATGCACGACGATTCAATTAAAGTTTACTAATGATCAAAGTATATGTGAATTTTGACTAGTCTCAGTCTTTTTGGCAAGAAATTGAAATGAAATGGCAAATTGAAAAAAAAATTCATTTTGGACCAATCCCGATCAAAATAAAACCATAATGAATAAAATAACAATTTACTGCCTTCTTTATTGTCCCCCGCTTTAGCGAAAGCGAGGGGACATTAAATCTCATTCGTCTGTCCGGCCGTCACAAAAACTTTAACCTTGCCCATTATTTTTGATTTAGTGGAGCTATGACTTTCATATTTCACTTGTGTGTCCCTTGTGAGAAGACCTTTCTTTGGGTACCACCATATTTGACCTTTTGACCTAGACCTTGGAGTTTGACCCACTTTTACACAAAAAATCTGAACTTTTACTTTGGCCATATTTTTTGAATAGTAGAAACTAGGAATTTCATATTTCACATATGCATTTTTTGTTTCAAGGCCTTTCATTGGATACCAACAATTTTGACCTTTTAACCTTGACCTTAGAGACTATGAAAAAACTTTTACCTTGACCATAACTTTTGAACGGAAAGGGCTAGGGCTATCGTACTTCACATTTGTAATTCTTGTGAAAAGACCTTTCCTTGGATACCAAGAACTTTGACCCTTTGACCTTGATCATGGAGATTGACCTAATTTTCAAAAACTTTGACCATGGCCACATTAACTTTTGAACGGTAGATACTACATGTAGGACTTCATATTTTTGCACATATGTATTTTTTGTCGCAAGACCTTTCATTGGATGCCAACAACTTTGACCTTTTTGACCTTGGAGATTTCCGTACTTATGAAAAAACTTTAACCTTGACCATATCTTTTGAATGGTAGAAACTAGGACTTACATATTTCACATATGTATTTTTTGTGTCAAGGCCTTCCATTCTGACATTTTGACTTTGACCTTGGAGATTTCCGTACTTTTGAAAAAAAAAAAGTTTAACCTTGACCATAACATTTGAACGGTAAGGGCTAAGGCTTTCGTACTTCACATATGTAATCCTTATGAGAAGACCTTTCATTGGATACCAAGAACTTTGACTCTTTGACCTTGGAGTTTGACTTACTTTTCCAAAACTTTTACCTTGGCCATAACTATTGAACAGTTAAGGTTAGGGTTTTCATCCTTCACATATGTATTACTTGTGACCTTTTTAAAGAAATCAACAACTCAGATCCTTTCACCTTGGAGTTTGACCTACCTTTCAAAAATGTATCCTTGGCCATAACTTTCTTTTGAACAGGGGGGTGGGATTTTGTATTTCACAAATGTATTTCTTGTCTGAAAACCCTACTTTGGGTAATATCTAATATATTTCATTTGAATTAAGAAATGTTAAATCTTTGTCATGTTGCCATACGAGGTCATCTGTGTTTCACAAACACATCTTGTTCCTTATATTGAGAAGAGATAGGACTTTCATATTTGACATGTGCATTATCTGTGACAAGATATTTCCGAGCATGCTATGAATTCTTACCCCTTGACTTTGACCTTCACAATTGACCTTATTTTTAAAAAAAATCAACTTCAGTGATAATTTCTAAATACATGACATATGAAAGGGTGTTCATATTAGACACAATGTGTCATAAAAAATGACATCTCATCCACAAAGAC